CAATATTGAGCTTGGTCCCTCAATATTTATTAAGTGATAGCTTATTATGTCCGTCAAGACACCCTCCCTATCATACCCCATGTGTTGGTCCCATTTGGTCCCAATGGCTTCAAATTCACAATCTAAAACCATTCCATAATTAGTATGTTTTTGTGATTGTCCTAAATACTAATTCCTAGGACTGAAGTGAAAGCCCAAAGCATGCATTTCTCAAAATGGGGAGGGTTCTAAATGTATAGTAGGGATAGTTGGTAGGTTAGCCATGGCCAACCAACCTAAGACTTAGTGTAACTCCTATTTACATGTTTGTCCTTGTTTTGCATCTGGTTTAAGTTTAAGTCTAAGCTCCATACCATGTTAGCTAGTGGAGTATTTATATCGTCATCGGTATGCTAAAATAACACCAGATTTTGTTTAACTCTATTCTATATGTTAGTTTTAGCATTGGGATGTTGAATGTTATAGAAATGTTCTAAGTTGCTTCGTGTTTTTGTCCCTTCACTACTTAGGTTGTACGCTTAAAAGTTGATCTATACTTCTATCCTTTCACCCCTTGGGTTGTACATTTAAGAGTTGCTCCATGCTCATATTCCTTCACTTTTTAGCTTCATATTATTATATGTGACATATGGCATGTGGAGTGTAAACAAAGTGTTTAATCCATGTGTCCATGGTAATCCTATGGTAAATCACCATAAGGTAAAGGGTGAAAACCAAATATACTACATTATTGCTATGTTTTCTCATAAACTTTTTTAAAGCTGAATTGAAGGTATTGAGAACATAAGGTTGAGGTTTAGTAAAGTTGAGTCCAAAAATAAAGTATTATAATTATAAGTGGATTAATCAGGACTATAAAAATTAATCTATTGGTTCAAATAGTTATTGCTATGTTCTCCCATATATTTTTCTAATGCTAAATTGAAGGTAGTGTGAATGAAAATTTAAGGTTTAATCAAGTTGAGTCCAAAAATAAAGTATTAGGGATAAAGGATTTTGAATATGATTATGAATGGATTAATCAAGATTGTAGGGATTAGTCTATTAGTTTAAATAGTTATTGTCATAAACTTTTCTAAAGCTGAAATAAAAGTAATGTGAATGCAAGCTTGAAGTTTAGTTAATTTAAGTCCGAAAAGGCATGAAAAGAGTGTATTAAATTGATTATATTACTTATTTTGTAAAGAGTTTTTGTTGTTGTAATTCTCAAGAACTTTGATGCATTTTGGTGAAATCCCCTTCATGTGTAAGATTGATATCACTCACTCTCCATCAGTGGGGAGCTTAAAAGCTCACACAAAATATTTGGCATGTATGAAAAACTTGTGTAGACAAAGTCTTCCTAATATGCCGAGAGAAGTTTTTTCATGATGTTGAGATCATATGGTTTATCTATAATTTTTGGAAGCTCATAAAGTCCAATCTCATGTAACCATTTGTTGAACTCTTCAGTCCTCTTCCAAGTTGGATAGTATGAAGATTCACCCAATCATGCTGAGGACCTTGGGATCAAAGATAAACTTGATAATGCCATGCACTTGCATGCTAGTCTCAAATTAAGCATGGACATCCCATGCACATAGAGCACCAGCCCCCACTCTCAAACCCCACCTCCACTACTTGTTCCTAGTCCTCCCTGTTTCTCAAGAACCTCTCCCTGCCATTTCATCTCCTTCCTGTTGCTCAATCCTGCTTAACCTAATTGGTCAAGTCCTGAGTACAAAGGCTACAATAACCCACCTGTAGCAATCACTCCACTCTTTAAAATTGTGTGACCTCACACAAAAGACTTATCTTTTATTCTAGCATCATATCCCTCCATCTTAGCCTCACTGAAAATTGCACTAATCACAAAAATCTTTACATGCACAAGGTGTTCGGCACACTCAACCATCATAGCTCTTTGCAACATCATAATCACTCCACAATCATAATTCTCTATCTAGGATTAAGCCAACTCACATCTCACAAAGCTTTTAGACCATGAGTTTGTCATGCTAGCTTAGCTCTTTTAATTCTCAACTATCTTAAAAGATCTATTGAGTGATACATCACACATAATTTTGTCATGCTAACCCAGGTTACACAATTATCCAACTCACAACCTCAAAACATTTGTGAGCATCACATCACAAGCTCTTTATCCACAAATTTATCATGCTAGCCCAACTTACACAATTTTCATCTCACAATCTCAAAGATTTATGAGCATCACAACAGAAATCTTCTAAGCTTAAAATTTTCTAGGCTCACTACCTTAAACAATCTATCAATTTATCAGGAGAAAGATGATTAGCATGAAAAGTAGGCCCCTAGCATCCTTGATAGCTGAAGAGCCATGCCCCTTGCCTCCACCTAAAAATGGACCACAGACAGAAATGACTCCTAACTGAAACAAAGTTGACAATTCAAGAATTTAACCTCCAGTGAGTGTCCCTGCACATGCAGAGCACTGGCCCCTACTCTAAACCCCAGCCTCCACTTCCTCCCGCCCATCAAAAACCCCCTTTTCTCAAGAACCTCTTGTTGTTGTAGCGGTCTTTCCCCTTTAAAATTTGTGTGTCCTCACACAACACAACAGAAATTTCACACATTTTTTAACAAATTTCTAACAAGATTTCTTCAAAGCTTCAGATGACTGAACCCATTTTTGCAATTTCTCAGGAACACCAGGATAAAAAGCATGCTTTGCTGCTTTATGATTATCATTCGAGATATACATGACTACTTGCTGGAGTGTCACCAAATACTGCTGCACAGTCTCTCCTCTCTGATATTTTTTATTGTTAATAATCTCAAAAGCTTGATCCTCAAGATTACCAACAATAAAGAGACACCTTGCCAACTGCACTGCTTCATCTCACAAGATCTGATCTTCTCAGCGTGAAATGAACATTCTCTATGCCCCTCTCTATGCCCCTCTCTATGCCCCTCTCAATAGAGCCATACAAAAGGCATTAACCTTCTCATGTCCAGCCACTTAATTATTATATGCAGCACACTCAAATACATCCAGGTAAATTTCAAATTCCTCTCCTAGTTGGTAAGTAGGATACTTCAATCTGGCTGAAGGAGATACTTCCTCAAATTTTCTTCTTCTCATGACAGCTATCTGTGATGTCCCTTACTATCTTGCTTCGTCCTGAGCCACATTTGCCTCATTACTTGCCATGTCTCAAGGAGAAAATGCAAGCCTGGCACAACACTAGCCACAGTCGTCTCATGCAAAACAGAGAAGCAGCTTTTTTGTCCAGCTCACTTACTATGCCTCACAAATCAGACTTTGAGGTCACATTCATCACCCAAAGCTAAACCCAGACTACCTTGCCACGTCATGGCAAGTTTGGGTTTGCATAGATTAGCTTCCATGGGCACACTCTTGAACATGTCCGGGAAATTCCTGAAGGCCTCGTGAGCAACTCTTGCTGCCGACTTTGGGAGCATTTACTAATTGTATGATCCGCATGAAATATTCGATTTCACATACGTTTCACTCATGGAATATTCAATTTCACTCATGGAATTCTGTTTTTCACACCACACGGTCTTTTGTCATATGAATAACACTTCATACCCCCAGCCCAACCTTGCAAAAACTTTTCATCGGGATATGGCCATCCAGACGGCAGCCAAGGCATTATTCCAATTCTTGAGTTAGAGAACATTTACTTCGACATGTTTTTAAGTGTTTCCTTTCTCTTATAGAGAAGCTACGGAAAGAATTCTGCCCAGAGAGAATAGAAGGCGGTCAGGCGAAAAACAAAACGAGAGAACGATCAAGAAAAGGCTACGGATATCGATCCACACGTGATTTCAAATTCGACGGCTTTATAGCTTGGATGAGCTCGAAGTTTGCTGCTCTAACTCAACAGACCAATCCTTTTAGCTTGGATCTGAAGGCCTTGATTTGCTTTGCACTGACAGCCATTACCAATCCCAGGAGCTGCAACCCTTTGGTCTGGTGAACATCATAGAACAACACTTGGAAAAGATCAAAAGGCGAAAAAAAGTTCGAACCTGATGGGCTAACATAGTTTCGGCCTGGACTGGAAAGGTAAAGTGCCACGAGCTTAACTGAAACAGAACTGCTAGTGAATCCAACGTAACGAGCAAAGGATAGTGTTAGTGTTACCTGGAAAAATAGCTCGTCTTCAGGCTTAATAAATATAAAGTTACCATCTTCGTTTACTGGTTGTTTCTTCGGGACTTTCTGCCAAAACAGAAAGAAAAGAAAAGGGACAATCAGCCTTCTGGAACTCGCGATTATAACTTGCCTTCTTTTTTTTCTTAAAAGTGTCGTGAGTACGAACCTCCTTATAGACCCGAGTCTGAATGAGGTATTGCTGGAACTTGAAGCTCTCCCTTAGTTCCGCAGAAGACTGTTCCAAACAAACAAAAGAAAAAAAAAAAGCTTCTTTCAGTTCTTTTAGAAGGTTTTATACCTCGTCTTCGGTGGCCCATGCGATTTCATCGAAGATGGCATCGTGTAGAGGCGGACAGAGCTCCAGAGGAACGTTCATGAGACGCTGGCTGACAAGCAGTCCAACGTTTTTATCGCTTTGCCACAAAGCTTGGAGCTTGGAAAGCTCTGGACTGTTCTTGGCACGCTTCACAAGGAAGTCTCGGATGGCTTGAATCGATGGAAGCTCCTGCAACAAACAGGCAAGAGGACGAGTCCGCTGAAAACCAAAGTTCCTGGAGAAGAAATGCGAGTGAAAAATCCATTACCTTGTATCTCCTAATGTTAAGAGCTGTGATAAGACCAATTGGATCGTCTCCACCGGCTTTGACAATAGTCCCCACTCTCGTCTGGCCGAGGATCAAATTCACGAATCCCGCAATGTCCCACTCACAATCGTCGAGATAATTCTGGAGCAGCAGCTTCACGCCGTGATAATCCTCCGGCTTTGGATCAAAGAATTCGAAGTCCACATTCACGGTGGAATTCTATGGCGAAATCTCTCAAGCACAGCACAAGAAACACGATGGATCTACCTCGTCTGACTCCGATTCTTCGTCGTCGCTGCTATGGGACGCGTCGTGATCGTCGTCCTCGTCGCTAGGATCGCTCGCTATCTCCTTGCCCTTGCGCTTGTTCTTCATGCCGCCAAAAACCCTGGCCCGAGATTAGGGTTTATGAGAATGGCGGCAGAGGGAGGCTTGAAGGTGAGCGCTGTGAATGGCGTTAAGGTCTACTCGATCACGGGGCAGCGCGTGGTAGCATCGTGGCAGAAGACCGCCAGGCGCAAATCCAGGCGCAAGGATGAAGGTACTTCTTCTTCTTCTTCCTTGTCTCTTGGAATTTTTGTTTTAGATCGATCACTAGAATGTGTTGCTTGACTGTAGAATTTTTGAGGAGAGTGGAGCTCATCCAGGATCTAAAGTTCAGTGCTGCTGCCACGAGGATGAAAGTCACTCCGGATCAAGAATGTATCATCGCCTCTGGTTCGTTCCATTGCTTTGTTGCGTAGAAAACAAGAAAAAAACGTGATCGTGATGTTATTTCAGGTGTCTATCCACCACAAGTCAGAGTTTACGAGCTCAGAGAAATGTCTCTCAAGTTTGATCGTCACTTCACCTCTGAAATCGTTGATTTCCAGGTCTGCTGTTTGTTCTATCGCGTTTGTTTTTCAAGCATTTCTCCTTCCAGGTTTTGGGGGATGATTTCTCCAAGCTCGCATTTCTTTGCACAGATCGATCCATATGTCTGCATGCAAAGTTTGGACGCTACTACAGCACAAGAATACCCAGGTATTTTTTCGAAGGCTTTCACTGTTGAAACGTTCAACTAGTAGTTCGCGCATAGGATGGGGAGGGATCTTGCTTATGACAAATGGTCCTGCGATCTTTTGGTCGCGGCGTCCTCTCCGGAGATATATTGCTTGAATTTAGAACAGGTACGCTGTTCTTTCCATTTCGTAAGTTTTCCTTCATTCTTACTTTCTCTCCAGGGAAGGTTTCTTGCTCCTCTTTCAAGTCGCTCTCCTGGCGTCAATGTTATTGGAAGAAGGTCGGTCAGTTCGACATTATCCTGGAAAAGAATCACTGGTTGTTTCTGTTTGGCAGTCCAGCCCATGGTTTGATCGCTTGCGGAGGTGAAGACGGTGCATTGGAATGCTTTGATTTGCGTCAAAGGGCTGCAGTCGCACGGATCGACGCCGTAAAGCCAACGGGAAATGTTGATCAGGTGGAATTATGTTTGCACTTGAATGATTCTCACTTCTCCTTCAGGAAGTAACAGCCTTGCGCTTTGACGATACAGAAGGACTCTTCCTAGCTGCGGGAACAAGTGCTGGTCAGGCAAGTGAAAACTTTAAAATTTATAACCTGGTAAGTTTTCTTTCTTCCCTGTGACAGGTATTAGTCTACGACATACGCTCTTCTGCACCTATAGCGATCAAGGATCACATGTTTGTAGCTAATTCACGCTCTTTTAATCCTTTGTGAGACGGACTTGGTTCTCAGGTATGACGCCCCCATTGTCGACATAAAATGGCATGGAGATCTTTCGTCACCCAGGAAATTGGTAACTTCGGATACAAAGGTTATTAGAATCTGGGAGCCTGAAACGGTAATTCTACAGTGCTAGTTTTCGACGCGCGCGATCTTAACTTTTGCCTTGTACAGGGAAAAAGCATAACGAACATAGAACCACCGAATGGCCACATCAATGATGTGTGCGTCTTTCCGAACAGCGGGCTGATATTTGTTGCCGTGGACAATACTCAAATACCTGCATATTTTATTCCCGCTCTGGGACCGGCTCCAAAGTGGTGTTCGTACTTGGAAAATCTTACGGTGAGTGTGATTAGAGACCTTTTGGCGGCTGATTGTAACGTGTTTGCTGTAGGAGGAACTCGAGGACGGTGCACAAACTGTTATATATGACGACTACAAATTCGTGACAAAAGATGATTTAGAACGTTTGAATCTAACCAACTTAATAGGGACGAATTTGCTTCGAGCATATATGCATGGATACTTCATAGATCATCGCTTGTATGGCAAGGTAATCGATGCTGCAACTGTATCAAATTTACAGTTCGTCTTTTCAGGCAAAGTCGATCGCTGATCCTTTTGCATATGAAGTATATCGACAACAGCGTATTAAGGAGAAGCTGGATGAGAAACGTGCATCGCGAATAACAGTGAGAGCATTTTCTGTTTCTTCATTCTTTTCTATGGCTTCTCATTCGACGTGTATGACAGGTGAAAAGAAAGCTCCCGAAGGTCAACCAGGACTTGGCTGCTCGTTTGATAGCAGCCGGTGACGAGGTCGATGACAAGAAGAAAAAACGTCTACGTTCTGAAATTCTCGATGATGAACGTTTCGCGTCATTATTTTCAAACAAGGTTTGTAGCTCTACTTCTTTCCGTGTCCCGCGATACTTAAGCTCTGCTCGCCCAGGACTTTGAGATTGACGAAACGGCAGAAGAGTACAAAGCTCGGCATCCAAACGAGACAAACAAAAAGAACGCATCTTTGATCCAAGAGCATTTCGAATTGCAAGAGTCGAGTGGCTCCGAGGGCGACGCCAGCGGCAGCGAAGGCGAAGACAAGGAAACGCACAAATCCAACTCGGCTCCGAGGTTAGACCAACCACTCGCGAAAGCTTTTGTAAAACAACGTACCTCTCTTTTTTGGTCACAGGCTTTACAAGGCTAAAGACGAGATCCATGCCAAGGCATTCCGGGACAAAGTTTCGCTGGCTGCCGAGCACAACATGCCCATGGAGGAGCGCGTCACCGCAGCGCAAAGCAGCAATCCCGTGTCAGGTGGGCGATGGGGCAGCAGAGAGCTGAGTTTCTCACGACAGGAGAGGAAACAAGAGCGTCCCCAAAGAGAAAGCCAGAGCTCATCAAAGCGAGGGATCCAATCGCTGGGATTGAAGTCCGAGGACAGAGGTAGGCCAAGTAGCCGTGGAAGAGGACGAGGAGGAAGAGGGCGGGGCCGAGGAGGACGAGGGAGAGGCAGAGGATGATTATAATGCCGTGAAGTGCTGGATCATGGTGAGCTGGTGGTGTTTCGCGACGAGGATCACGAGATACAGAACCTGTGGGATGGTTCCTAGCGAATTTTTCTGGTTGATTCCAAAGAGTGGGGCTGGAAACTCATTACGGCTTGTCCTTCCGTCAGCTGGATCAGGACCGGCTTTCAAATGCATAATGAAAAATCGTTTCCAACTGACAGTTGCTGAGAGGCATTGTTTCACGCTGTGACGAGGAGTTTGATGATTCATGGGTGGCCATGACGTGCACTGATGGCAAGAGCAGTATATATTGTGCAGTTTGGAGCCGATTCCAAGTTCTGGTCAGTGGTGGAGGCGCCCAACACCTTGTCAAGAGAAGGTCGAAAGGAGCTTGCTTGGTTCTCCTGTTAATTAAGTTCTTCCTCTCTCCCTCCAGGAGTACTCCATAAGTTTTTCAAGATAATTGTGCTCTCTCCAGAAGCCGGAAACTGTAGCACAGAATTCCAGGTTGTCTTGGTGAAGACAGTCTTTGGTGCCCAGGAAATATTCCGCGGTTTACACCCATGGCCCGATGGACAGGCCATGCGCAAGAATCTTGTCCCCTTGATCTGGAGCGGTTTGAACGCTTGGATATGCAAAGAACATAGCATTCCAGGATACTAGATGCATTTCATCTATCTCATAGGTTATTCAAGAGATTACGTTCTGCTGTGGCATAGAATCAGAAAACTTGTTCGCGTCTTCCAGGTCTCCATTCCACATCCAATCTGACGTGGCATTCGATAAAACAGGTGCTTTGCCTCTTCCAAATGCCCAAAATGGGCATAGTTTTTCCACCATGGATACCATGTTTCGCGTCATTCCTTCACAGAGACACAAGAACATTCTAGGACAACATCATGAAACGTGTTTCTAGCCTCAGCAAGGCGAACCCTTCAGGGCATATGCCATGAATGCCACCACGGTGGAAGAGCCTTTGTTTTGTAAGAAGGCATGTTCCTTTTCTCCTTCTAATTCTTTGCCAGAATCCTAGACACAATATATGGAGTATATCATCGAAGCCAAGAGCCACTCAGTGCAGCCCAGTCGATTTCCTCGTCCCCTGTGGGGAAAGAGAGCACTCACGCTTTTGGATTTGATCTCCTCTAGAAGAACACCGGCGGGTTTCTCGGGTTGAAGTGCCGGATCTTAAGAGAGAGTAAGATTTCTCGTCCCATGATTGCCATGCAGCCCGTGTTCCAGACTAGCTCCCATCGATAACATCCCGCTTTGTTTTAAACGCAAGAGTATTTTTAAACATTCTTAAAACCCTAGTTAGGGCTACAGCATCATGAATCCCGCGCCCGCGCCAAAGACGAATTGGGCGGATGAAGCAGACTTGGATTTTGGAGCGCTGGCGATCTCTGGTGGCGCCGATTCGAAAGCTGCGCCAGTGAAGCCGCGATCCGAGAAGCTCAACGACGAAGTGGAGACGAAGATCGACAAGGTATGTCATTGGTGTCGAAGATGAGCGGCGGGTGAAATCCTGGTGTGTGGGAAACAGGAGCTCGTCGAGGGCAACAGCTTGTATACCTCGGCCAAGACGTTTGAGGAGCTTCAAATCTCCGAGCCGCTGCTGAGAGGGATCTACTCCGAGATGAAGTTTGAGAGGCCGAGCAAGATCCAGGCCGAGACGCTGCCGCTGATCATGAATCCCCCGCACCGCAATCTGGTGGCTCAAGCGCACAATGGCTCTGGGAAAACTACATGCTTTGTTCTCGGCATGCTAAGTCGCGTCAACACTTCTTTGCACGAACCGCAAGCTCTGTGCGTTTGTCCAACACGAGAGTTGGCACTCCAGGTTCGTAGTTCTTTGTTGTGCTCGGTGATATGTAAACGATCGATCCTCGTTTTTTCTTTTCCTCGCAGAACCAAGCAGTGCTCGAAAGAATGGCACGCTTCAGTGATATCAAATCGACCTGTATCATACCTCCTACGGAAAGTATCAGGGGCTCACTCCGCGGACATATAGTCGACCAAGTTATCTTCGGTACTCCTGGGTCTTTGGAGAGGGCTATCGTCAACGAGAGAAACTTAGACGTGCAACACTTGAAAGTGTTGGTGTTTGATGAGGCTGATCATATGCTAGACCAAGTAGGCTTCAATGCTGTTGTGATTGTTTCAATCTCATACGTCCTTGCAGAATGGGTTTCGCGACTTTTCCATGAAGCTATTGCGACGCATCAACAAGCAAGCACCGAGTTGCCAGGTGAGATTTCATTCTTCCTAGCTGCCTAGGAAAGAAGATAAGACTTTTCCTTGCAGCTCTTGCTGTTCTCTGCAACTTTCAGCGAAAAGGTGAAGAATTTCGTGTCCAAAAGTATCCCGATAGCAAACCGAGTATTCGTCGAAAAGCTCGAGCTCTCGCTGGACGTCATCAAGCAGTACCGTGTAGATTGTCCCTCTGAAGCTGCCAAGTTTGAGGTTCTCAAGGATAGAATCTTCCCCATTGCCGAGAAGCTCGGACAGTCGATCATCTTCGCCAAGAGCCAACGTAGTGTGACCGAGCTGCACGAGAAGCTGGAAGCAGACGGTCATAAGTGCAGTTCTATCCAGGGAGGATATAGTCCCGACCTCCGTGACAAGATCATCGACGAGTTCCGACAGGGAATAACCAGGATCTTAATCTCAACTGACGTTCTTTCAAGGGGGTTCGATGTCGCGCAGGTGTCCTTGTCAATGCTTTTCTTTTGAGGTGTTTTTCTTCGTACCCGTCTCTGACTTGCGGATGCTTTTCAGGTCACTTTGGTCGTTAACTTCGATCTTCCAGTCACGCGGGATTATCCCAAGCAGCCGGACTATGAAACTTATCTACACCGCATCGGCCGAAGTGGAAGATTTGGAAGGAAAGGTAGAAAGAATCATTCAACCAGAGCATCGTCTCACGTGTGAGAGCTTTGGTTGCAGGAGCTGCATTTAATCTGGTTGTCACACAGGAGGACACGAGGATGCTAACTCTGATCGAGGAGCACTTCGGCAAAACCATTTCCCCGGTATTTCTACGACACTTTTTGTCTCCTTTCCTCGATGGGTTTAAAGTGTTCTCTCTTGCAGGTGGCCTGGGATGACGACGAAGCTTTCGAAAAGGTTTTGAAGGAGGCCGGACTAGCTTAAAAGTCAAGAGGAGTTTTTCCGGAGTTGTTTCGATGTCTATAGCTAGGCAACAAACTATCGCGATTTGTAATGTGATCGAAGAACTAAACTTTCGGGAACAAAGAAGCAGTTAAGTAGCCGGTTGTGGTGCTTGGTTGGGCGATTTTCTTCACAGAAGACGCCGTACGAACTCGAGCTTGGCTGCGGTGGCGTAGGCTAGCGCTCGATCAGGGCGGCAGCAAGGACGGCTTCACCTCCTTCTGCATCCCCTTCCAATAGAAACGTAACTTGATGGCAGCTAATGTGGAAGATCCTCCTGGGTGACCAGCAACGAGACCACACTCTCGAAACACTTGACGTGTGTCAGTTGCTGAGTATGATGCAGCCTTTCCTGCAGAGAAGTCCCCCATCCAAAACAATCGGCTGTTGCACTCCCGCTGACGGCTGCCGCCAATGCTGATACTCTGGGACGCCGTACACAAGCAGGTACTTCCAATATCATTCCTGACGTGTTTGCAAAACCAGAAGGTTCTGCTAACTCGTCGTCGTTGTTTTTAATTGAGGTGTTGTTGATCCATCAAGAAGCACGGACTGAGGTGATCCACTTGCAAATGGAAATGTCGTAATGATAAGTAGTGGCGCCATTTGCAAACTGTGTGGATCACTGCTGTCATCTCCTGCTCATAAGCGGTCATCCGAGATTCTGCTATCGAGAGCCGTCAACTTTCGAACGCTATGAAGCGACTGTTCTGTAGCAAGACGCCCCCGACTCCCACGTCTGGCATCCTTTAAAGAGCGCCTGCTTTCCGTTTCAGACTTCTCCAAGGAATTTGTAGTCGAGACGGATGCTTTTCTGGGCCGCCTCTTACCACGAAAAGGTAGACAGCATATAATGTCGGTGAGGGCTGTCGCAAAAATGCTGCACAAACTTCCTCAAATAGTTAGCAAAGCCAAGAAAAGCTCTTAACTGCTTAAGAAAAGCTGCTTAAGGGAGGAGCACCTAGCTTTTCAGGATCAGCCATCAGTGTTCCGTTGGCGATCTTATGTGATCTTTGTCATTCCCAAATTGCATTTGGAAAGCTTGGCCACCATAAAGTGTGGTTGTAGATGGAAAACCACCACGAATTTGAAACTATCCTTTGTATAAAGCTTCTATCTGCATCCCAAAGTGTAAAAATAGCATAAGACACAATATTTTATCACATGGTATAAGTTTACAATTGGATTGTGATAATTCCTTATATTAGTTTGTTTTCAAACCCAAGCATCTGACACTGTTTCTCAGTGCATAAAGCATTTACATATATCAATAGTTGAATGATGCTTATCTTGCAATTATCTTGGGTAGTGTATGACTAAAGCATCACAAAAGTAACAACTACTGAAATGATATCCTGCAATTCCACAACTTGAGCAGGAATTGACAATTTTCTATGTTGTGCCGACATGGTAGCAATATTTGTTTGGACATGATTAAGTACCTCATATGGAGGAATATAGTAGTATACACTACTCCAATGTGGATCGATGAGCCACATATATTTGTAAATTATGGACTGAGAATGAGAAATTTGAAGATAACTTGCTAGAAAGCCCATTGTCTTAGTCTCCAAATCTTGAAATTCATCTAAGTGCCAAATGTCGTAGGACTATTAAATCCTACTTCCAAATGCCTACAGCAAAAATTCAAACACTATTTAAGTGGGAATATGGGATTACCTTCACTCTTAACACTTGAAGCATTTGATTCACGACCTGACAAAGACAAACTATTATCTTCTTCCTCTTCTAATAAACTTTAAAAAGATATAATAAATACATTTTTGTTAAATACACAGATAAAGGCTTACTCATTCAAAATGCCTCATTTACCCACAGTGCAAAGACATGACCAATCCCTAAGTGAACAAACATCTGGGGTCAAAGGCTCTCCATCTACTAGACATATGAACATGCATACATTGAACTAACGTTAACTTCCTTGTTGACTTGAAGTCAACTAAGTTAATGTAGGCCAAAAGATTTGGATATACCATGCGCTCCTCAAGTAATTGGTTAAAAAATGAGGTGCCTTTCAGTGCTTTGACTGTTACTGCAATATAGCTGAGAACCATGGCTGAGAGTGCTTCACCCAGTGCTTCTTGGTATTTTTATAGGTGTCCCATTAACTTTTAGAGTCTTGCAACAATGCGGCCAGATTTTTTGCTCATGTTTCTAACAATTTCCCTGCTGACAGTAATCCAGAGTTTTGCAGCTTCGCCCCTCAAGATTCGCTCCGTCAACCTTGGGGGATGGCTAGTGATTGAAGGATGGATGAAAATGTCCCTGTTCGACGCCATTCTAGAAAACAGGGATCTCCTGGTAGGTTAGGTTCACAAAAGAAAACAATCATCATTGCCTATGGATAAGATCTTTTGCAGGATGGAACGCAAATAGCGCTCAAATCCGTGAATCTAGGAACATATGTTTGCGCCGAGGATGGAGGAGGGCAGAAAATGGTTGTGGACAGGCAAATGGCATCGGGCTGGGAGACATTTAAGGTTTAGTCCTCACATTGAGCACAAGAATCTCTGTTCCCAATTTTCAAGCAAATTCTGGTGTAGCTATGGCGAGTAAGCAGCACCAAATTCCAGCTCCGTGTCTTCAACAACAACTTTGTCTCGGTGGCTAATCAGAGCGGCGTGGATTCAACCAAAGACACTCCGGGAGAATGGGAAACATTTGAGATTCTTCGCAATCCCAATAACCCCAAGCTAGTTCATATAAAAGCTTACAGTGGCATGTACTTGCAGGTAAGATCTCTCCAAACATTTTTATATGATCATGATTCATGGCCTCGTTGAGTTCCTTGTGGTTCCAAATTTCCAGGCCAAAGATGAAAACCAGCTCACTGCCGATTACAATGGCGAGCCCGGGTGGGATAACAACGCTGCCGTTTTCGAGATGAGCAATCGAGCCCCTCTTCATGGAGAGTTTCAACTAGCCAATGCTTTCGGCACTTCTTCCGCCGCCCAAGTTGTCTTTGCGGTTCGTATGATTTTCAAAGTTATATCCACGCTGATTACAATGTTCCTTCTTTCAATTAACGTTTTGAAGAATCATCGAAACAACTTTGTCACTGCGAAGGATTTTGAGTTCCTTGCTGCCAATGGAATCAATACTGTCCGGATTCCCGTTGGATGGTGGATAGCGTACGATCCCAGCCCACCGAAGCCTTTCGTTGGAGGATCTTTGCAAGCTCTAGACAACGCATTTACATGGGCTGGGTGAAAATTGGCTCTTCAGTAATAACTTTCTCTCTTATCCTTCATGGTCACAGGAGCAACAACATCAATGTTATTATCGATCTTCATGCAGCACCTGGATCACAGAATCCCTGGGAGCACAGTGCTAATCGAGATGGAGTTTCAACGTGGAGCAAAAAGGAAAACATCGATACAACACTCGAAGTCATCGACTTTCTTGCTTCCAGGTATTATTTCCAGAAATTCGAGGAACTGACGAAAAATTGCAACATAGCAGATACTCGAGACATCCAGCGTTGTTGGGCATCGAGCTCCTAAACGAGGCTCGAAAGGAAGATGTTAGCCTCGACGTTCTCGAAACTTACTACAAGCAAGGCTATGAAAGAGTTCGAAAATACAGCTCCACTGCTTACGTGATCATGGGCCAGAGAATTGGAGCCGATCCAATCGAGCTCGTCAACACCCTGAATGGCTCGACGAATGTGGTCCTTGACGTTCATTACTACAACGCCTACACTCCAACCTTCGACGACAAATCTGTCCAGTGGCATGTCGATTATATCAACAATGAGCGAAGAACAAGCATTGCAAACCTGGAAAAAGCAGGAAACGCTCTCATTTTTGTTGGTACGTTCTTGCCGAAGTTTATTCTTTTATTGTGGAAGAAGAGAATTCACTGGTAATATTTTCCAAGGCGAATGGAGCAACCAAATCAACGTTATAGGAGCTTCTAATGAAGACTTCGCAAGGTACGCAACTGCACAGCTGACGGTGTACAAAGAGGCTTCATTCGGGTGGTCATTCTGGAGCATAAGAAATGAAGATCAATCAAACCTCCACTGGGATTTTGAGAGGTCTGTTCAAACGGGACAGCTTCAGCGTGGAGCCATAAACTGAAGATGTAGGACGTCTAAACAGTTTTAAGAACCTCAAATAGAATAAATAAAAGATAATGGTCTAGCCGTCAATCTTATCCTTGTCTCGTTCTTGATAACCATGCAACTGTATGAGAGGACAACTTGGCATCGCCAGATCTTGCACGTAAGTAAGAACAGCCTCTTCCTCTCTCAAACGCAGCCAAGATACTTTGCCGGTTTTCCAGCAGTAAGGTTTTTTCGAGTTGCAAAAGAAGCTTACTTCAAAAACTTTGTGACAAACATAGCTTGTCACGACGATGAAAAGCGTGGAATAAGAAGAGAGAGCTCTCGTAAACTCGCTGACCACCGGCTACCAGTAGCCGCAGTTCACACTTACAAGCATTTGTATCTGATCTCACAATTTCTAGAGTATGCGAGACGGAATATTCTTGCATTGAAAGAACATCTATAAACCGGGTTTCCATTTTCATTTCGTTTGCACAGAATGGCGAAGAAGCGAAAGGAGGAATTTGTGGACATATGGAGGAAGAAACGAATGATGCAGGAGTCGTCTATGTACATAGAAGCAAAGGCGGACTGCGACGTGGAAGCTGGGTCAATGAGGGCTGACCTGATGAAGCACCCTGGATGCTAGCGTGCGAGTCTAGCGTCACAAAAGGAGGCATCCTTGCGGACGTGGAAGGGTTTGGGTAAGACCGTCTCCACCATCGCTCTTCTCCTCAAGGCTGGGCCAAGGACCAATGGCATTGACCCTACCATTGACAAGATCAAAGGTGGCAGCCTCATTCTTTGCCCAATGAAGTGGGAGCGTGAGATCGCGATCAAGGTGGCGCCCCAGGCCCAGCTCTCCACGCTTGTCTACCACGACCAGAACAAGCGTAAGGCAACGCCCGAGACGCTGGCATCATACGACGTGGTGATCACCACGTACGGGGTCGTGGCCAAGGAGGTGCCATACAAGTCCAACGTGGTCACGAAGGACTACTGTGGTGTTGACTACAGCCAGATTGCTCCGCTCAAGAAGAGACTTGAGAAGAGCTGGCATCTCCCGTTCGGTCCGCTGGCCACAGTGGCGTGGCATAGGGTGGTGCTGGACGAGGCGCAATCCATCTGGAATGCCTACACCCAAGTCTCGCTCTCTTGCAGGGATCTCTCTGCGACCTACAGATGGGGTCTCTCGGGAACGCCCTTGCAGAACAACATCAAGGACCTCTTTGCTTTCTTCCGCTTTCTCCGGATCAGCCCACACAAGTCTCATGCGGATTTCAAGCTCCACTACGAGCAGTTTGAGAAGACGGGCATCTCAGCGACACTAAAATGCATTGTCCTGCGGCGAAGCAAGACCTCGCTCATTGATGGCCAGCCTGTGTTGAGCTTGCCACCGAGGCTGGTCAGCCGGGTGGAGGTGGAGCTCTCAAGCCCAGAGCGACAAATCTCTGAGTCACTTCGACGCGAGTACAACAACAGGATTGACGAGTACAGTAATGAAGGGACGCTGCAGAAGAATAGGTTCAAGATCTTGAGCATGCTACTGCGGCTCAGGCAAATGTATGACCATCCTGCACTACTCAAGAGTGAAGATCTGTTTCAAGGTGATGATCTGGGAGAAGATAATGACGATGAGGACCAGCAGCATATGAGACAAGCATTGAACTTGAAGAAGCTCCAGCTGGAGGCCCAGGAGAAGCAACACGATTTTGAGCGAGGTGTGCAGGAAATCGGCCAGTCCGCAAAGTTGAGAGCCGCCATGGGTGTTCTCAAGATGATCCCTCTGGGAGAGAAATCCCTTATCTTCTCGCAATGGACTTCGATGCTTGACCTGATCGAACTGGAGCTGGGGGATCAAATTCACCAGAATTGACGGGAGCATGAACATGACAAAACGAGAAGCTGAAATCAGCAGGTTTAACAGGGATCCAGAGGTGATGGTATTGCTATTATCGCTCAGAGCAGCTGGGTGTGGTCTCAACTTGGTAGCAGCTTCGTGTGTGCTGCTAATCGACATGTGGTGGAACCCGACGACGGAAGACCAAGCAATTGACCGGGCGCACCGCATCGTTCAAACCCGGCCGGTCCACGTGACCAAGTTTATGGTGAAGGAGAGCGTGGAGGAGCAGATTCTGGCCATTCAGGAGAAGAAAAAGAAGATGGTGGAATTTGCATTTGGCGAGAAAGGGTGTGACAAGCACAGCCTTAGCATGGATGAGATCATCTCAATGTTCAGAATGTAAAACGTGATGAAGGATCATTCAAAGAACCCAAAACACACCACTTGTGTGTTATTTTAGAAAAACGTACCAGGGTAGAAATTCGCCGTTGCCGGGGATCGAACCCGGGTCGTCCGCGTGACAGGCGGAAATAGAATTTCGGGACCGTCAAACGCAACTCAGTTTTACGGTCAAGTGGAACTTACTCTTTCCATTTTGCCCGTGCCTGTGAATCTTTCGACAATTCCAGACACCCAGTGGATCTACACAGCTGGTATGAAATCTCCTTATGTCAAACGTCCGTGGACCATACCTAGCGTTGCATTGAGTTTTAGATCGTGCTCCACTCTCCTCAAAAACTCTACAGTCAAACAACACATCAATCGTAAACAAAATTCCATTATCAGGAAGCTAAAGAATGTAAGCTTCTTTTGAACTCTCCCTATCCTATATAGCTTTAAACTATCATAATCTCCTGGTGTCATCCAAAATTTAGGGTTCATTGCTAGCGGGAAAATAGACAAGACCGCCCACTGAAGATCTGGCAGCGGCAAGTACTCCAAGTACGCATCTCTTAGCAAGCAAGCATCAGCGATGCAGCAGATGGGGGTGTGATGTCGCTTCTCTCTTTTTGCCTTTTTCTACTTTTCTTCTCTGCTCTCCCGTTCCGTGTGGGGTCTCTTCGTTGGAGGGAGCGTGGTCGGAGCAAACGGTCACAGTGGGTACTTCGATAGTGGGTACTTGGCTCGAGATTAGCAGATTCGAGAGAGTTTTATATAGATCCAATCGCTCGAGGGACAAAATTTTTCTAAGGAATCGTACAGATGAAGTAAAAGAACACGGAGATGGAAAAGAAGCTGCGAAGAACTCGTTGCTGCTGTGATGGAGCCGAGGAAGAGCTGGATGATGACAATGACTGGCTCGATTTTCCACCCGGGCAGCTCCTCAGATCATCGGATCTAGCAGCGGCAGTAGAGCACAATCCGGTGTTGCCATGAAGATCCAAGTTATCACCCAGTCTCGCGTAGAAACTAGGAGCGAAGGGGACGAGACCGGACAAGAGGTTGTTGCTGAGATTCAAGTGGTAGATGTTTGGGAGTGATCCCAGGCTTTCGGGGATGGAGCCCGTGAGGAAGTTTCTTTCCAGCGCCAGTTCCGTGAGGTTCTTGAGAAGAACAATGGATCCCGGAATGCCGCCCGTGTATCCCGAGTTGGAAAGCCTCAGCTGCGAGATTTTTCCAAGGCTCTTCCAAAAGTCAGGTATGGTCGTGTGCATGGGATTATCCTGGAGGAGAAGTGACTGGAGGTTGCTCAATCCTTGCAGCTCGCGAGGGATGCCGCCAGTGATGCCGTTCCTGTCCAGAGCCAAGAACTGGAGATTGCTCAAGCTCCCAAGCGCGGCTGGAATGGATCCATCCAGCGCGTTGCTGCTTAGATCCAGCTTCTTGAGCTGCGCCAGTTTCCCGATCGAATCCGGGATATGCCCCCCCAGCTTGTTGTTGCTAAGATCGAGAATCGACAGGCTCTGCAACCGTCCCAACTCACCCGGAATCGCTCCTGCGAGAGAGTTGTAGCTCAAGTCGAGATTCTGGAGCTTTTCCAGGCCTCCCAGCTCCACCGGGACGCTCCCATGGAGCCCGTTTTGCGACAAGCTGAGAACCTCGAGCTTGGCCAAGCTTCCCAGCTGCTTGGGGATGGTGCCCGTGAGGCCCGAGTTCCCGCGGAGAGTAAGGACCTGGAGCGACGAGGCAAGCTTGTCGAGGCCCGACCAAGGAATGTTGGTGCTGTTGGTGCTGGGGGATACAAAGCAGCTCATGATGACGAGTGCCCTGAGGAAGGGGAGCTTAAAGATTGCCGGGGACAAGGAGGCATTCTTCTTGCAAGCGGTGGCCGGGTTGGAGCCGACAAGCGTGATCTTGGTGACGTGAAGAAGGTAGTCATCGCTGCTGCTGCCGCTGGATCCTCCCAGCTGCTGGCACTCGAGGCCCGGCCATGGATGGTAGCTGCTACAGGGGTGGGGATGCTTGGCTCGCCACTGGGAGGACTCATTGAGCAGGGATTCCATGACCTGGTAGAGCGCCTCTTGCTCGTTTCGATCCATGACGTGCTCCGGCTGCTCGTAATCAACGCGGGCTCTTCGCAGCTGCGATTCTCCTGCTGCGCAGGAAGCCAAGAGCAAACATTGGGTAAGAATCGCCCCGAGGAGCAGTGAAGAGGGGGAGGACATTCTTCTCGTCCGATGTTATAAATCAAGGGGCAAGCATGCGAGCTTTCGATTGAAAGGTGTTGCGGTGGAGTGTGGAAGAAAACATTGAGGTTTGGAAGGGAAGAATTTTTGTTTTGGGGGGAATACCACTTGACAAAGACGCCAGGCACATGAATACGGTAAAAGCTGACGCCCAGCTCACTAACTGGCCGCTCTCATGCAGTGTTTATTCATTTTTTTGCTCCACGGCCATACCAGTTGAGATCCGACGGCCCATGGTGCTTGCGCGACAGTTTGCGGACGGTCAGATTTTGCGGTGCCTGTAACATTGTTGGCAAGCTAGAATAGAGTAAATGAATATTTTCAGAACAAAGGTTTTTCCTGATATACTATCCTTTGGACAGCAAGAAATTTCAAAATTATTGGCAGTGACAACATTGCACGAAATAAGAACTATTATAATAATAATAAAAATAATATTGTAATATTAATGAAAATAATATTGTAGATTATTCTAGTTTCTTCTTTTACTAAAGAAGAAGGCTTTTACTTCATGGCAAGCGATGGCAAGCGAAGGTGTCCTTTCTCTACAGACCTCTTAAAGTCCCAGTGGATGTTTTTATCAAAAGTTTTGAAACTCCAGAATCCCCATCCAAACGATGCGTCTTTGTATACTGTAAGCTGTGCAGTGCCATATCTTGTAAAGTCGTCGTCGGTTGCACCAGGGACGTCTACCTGGTTGCTCCATTCCCCTGCAAAAGTACATGACACATATTCTTCGTCACTCGTGATCCAGTTCGATGTTGGAGAGAGCCTTACCAACAAAGATCAGAGGAGCGTTTTTTGCATTCTTCAGTCGTGCAATGTCTGATTTCCTCTCGTTGTTGATGTAATTAATGTGCCACTGGATAGTTTTGCCTTTGAACTCGCCAGTGAAATAGTTGTAGTAATGAACGTCGAGAACCACATTTGTGGAGCCAGGGTCTAGAGCGTTGACAAGCTCCATTGGATCGCTTCCAAGCCTCTGACACATGATCACGTAAGCATTAGGGCTCTTGCTTCGAACTCTTTGGTATCCTTGTTTGTAGTAACTTTTGAGGGTGTCGAGATCAACATCGGCAGCATTAGGCTCGTTCAGAAGCTCGATGCCTAATAGAGCCGGATGACTTGAGTACCTACATGTGTGAGAGGCATTTTAAGTCGAGTTTCAAAATCTAGATTGATCGATTACTTGGAGGCAAGAATATCGATGACTTCGAGCGTTTGAGCGATATTCTCTTCCTGCCTCCACGTTGAAACTCCGTCCCGACTTGCACTGTGATCCTCGGGATTCTGTGATCCAGGTGCCGCATGAAGATCAATAATAACTTTGATGTTGTGTTTGCTTCAACACCACCACATTGAGACGAAAGTTTTAGGAAATCCATCAGAAGAGAATGTTGCTCTCACCTAGCCCATGTAAATGCGTTGTCTAGAGCTTTCATGGATCCTCCAACGAACGGCTTCGGTGGATTGGGATCGTATGCAATCCACCAGCCAACGGGAATCCGGACAGCGTTAATTCCCTTGGAAGCAAGGAACTGAAAATCGCCTTCTGTGATGAAGTTGTTTCGATGTCTCTTTTGACGAAAAACAAAACAATATCGTAATATCAGAACACGAAGACTTGCTGAGCAGCTCTTCTTACGTCAAAGACTTGCTGAGGAGCTCTGGAATAGGCATTGGCCAGCTGAAACTCTCCTCGAAGAGCAGTGTTGACAGTCATGATAAATACAGCAGGGTTGTTATTATCCCACCCGGGCTCGCCACTGTAATCCGCGGTCAGCTGGCTCTCATCCTTGGCCTGCAAGTTGAAATGGAAGTTGAAAACTTCACAGTGAGCATTACATTACTTGTAAGTATCTGCCATTGAAAGTTTTGATGTGAACTAGAGATTTATTGCGAACGACTTTAAATGTTTCCCATTCCTTAGGGGTGTCTTTGGTCGAATCGACTGTACTTCCGCCTCCATTGAGAGCCGACACGAACATATTGTTGGATACACGGAGATAGAATCTGTTGCTGCTTACTCGCCATAGCTAGAACATATTTTGTTTCAAAAAATGAATTTTTGGAAGAGGAAAAACCTTGAATGTCTCCCAGCTGGATGGGTTTTGCCTGTTGACAACCATCTTGCCTCCACCGCTATTCTCGGCAGACACATACTTCCCCAGTTTCAAAGATTTGAGCTGGATTTGGGTCCCATCCTGCAGCCAAGAAACAAATTTTGATTATCAGATGTGTCCTATGTTAGCTAGAAGTAAACCAAGAGATCATTGTTTTCTGGAATTTTATCAAACAAGGACATTGTCATCCATCCTTCGATCACCAGCCATCCCCCAAGGTTGACGGCGCGAATGTTGGGAGGCGACGCCGCCGCGAGGCCCTGCTGCACTGTTGCCACCACAAGAATTGATAGAAACATGCAAGACAATACAGCAGGCTCCATTGTGTTCTAGCTACTTACAAAGTGTTACGACATCTTTATAGATCGAGGCCAGGGCTTGATCGCACACGGCACGGCACTCAGCTGACTCATTTGATGGTGCGAATCTGCTCATCTGTCTTGACTTTGAACATGGGGCATATTCTTTTTGTTAAAGGGTTCGAATCCTGCTGCTGCCGCCAGATCCCAAGGATGAGCGCGTGGCACCTTGACGCAATTCGATGCAAGCTGTGAGAAGGATTGTATCGGCCCTTTGGATCCAAATTAGGAAATCCAACTCGTTATCTTGACCCTAGCCACCTTGAGATTCTGCCGTGCCTATTTCCAGGCCAGCTCTTCTTCCTCTTCACCTCCACAACTCGTGATCCATTAGAAAAACATTCTTCAGTTGAACGATAGAACACTTTGCAGCTTTATGGTCAACTCAGTCAGAGGGTCTTTCCTGCTGCTAGTATGTCACCGCGTGCTCTACTTTCCTGGGTCTCCCGAGTCAAAATCATATTTGACGGGAACTTTCATCCATGCGCGAAAGTATGAAGCCATTATCCACCAAGGAGCGTTTATCTTAAACCATTTCAAAGTTCCACTTATAACAAAGCAATTTACAAACGGTCAGCCAAATCGAGTCCAAGTTAAAAAAGTGTTTTACACCTCAGCCGCGCTCATATCACCATTGCAGGTTGCAACAGAGGATTGTCTCAGCGCAAGCAACGCCGCTCCAACAGCCGGCTCCACCTGTGGAATGGAATGGATCAAATCAACAACACATAAGGAAACGCGAAAGGTTATCACCTGGGGGCGAATAGCTTCAACGCCGGGAAAGGAAGCACATACGCAATGAACGATCGCAGAGACGAGGTCGAACGAGTCATTCTTTTCCAAAACGCCACCGACCAAAACCAGCGGAAACGGTTTCTTTCCATCTGTAAGCCAGCTTAGAAATGCCTCGCAAAACCGAGAGTGCTTACCTTCACCGGCGAGACCGAGTCTAGTGACAACAGAGTTGACGCTCAAAGACAGCTCTTGTACAGCAAAATTGAGAGCCTCCTGAGCAGCAAAGTCTCCTGCCGCAGCACAAGCCTTGACAACCGGGACAAGAGCTGCTACACGAGCCCACGAGGAATCTGTATAGGCCCAGCTGCCAGCAACAATGTCAACCAAAGTTTGGTACAATGAAGAACGATACCTGATTAAGTCGTCAACATGCTTGAGGTGGAGATGCTTTAGAATCGCTCCAGACAGCGCTGTAGGAGGACCGCGTCCATCGTGAGCACGAGTTACTGATGCCAAAGCTTGCGACGCTATGGCAAAGCCACTGCCAAGAAAGCACCCGAGTAAGTGGTGGCCAAAAGAGAAAGCTATAAAAGAAAACGTGGAAGAGACTCGGACCTGCCTTGGTCTCCGAGGAGAGGACCATAGCCCGAGCAGCGAGTTTTGCGTCCATCACTCGTGAATCCATACGCAATTGTTCCGGTTCCAACGACGAGCACACAGCCATGGAGCTTTCCGAGAGTTCCACTCGCCAAGGCTGCAACAGCATCGTTGTAAGCAAAAATGTGAGACGTGCGCGGAAAAAGTTGCCTGGTAGAACAAACAACAAAGAAAAAAACCAGTGAAAAACTTAGCAAAGCGTGAAAGGATTGAATCTCAGCACGCAGAATACCAGTGAAATGGTGCGCTGCATCATCTCACGCTTATCAGTCAGCATATGAAATTTACTACTTCACACCTCAGCCAGGACAGCATTCGCTCCTCATCGTCTCGAGTGTCCACTCCCGAGATTCCCACGCACACCGCCTGGACCGACGAGCGAGGAACTCCCGCGTTCTTGAGAGCTCCCGCAAGCGCCAGTTCTAGAGCCGCATTTGCAAGCTCATCTACAAAGAAAGAAGTAGAGAAGCGTCCAGTCCATGAAAAAAATAAGGAAAAACTCACGAAAACTCACAAGAACATACCTCCAACACTGTTGCGATTGGAGCAGCCAGCCACAGCTCGTCCAATAACCTTTGGGGACTCTTTGCTGGAGTTAGCGTTTACACACACACACAGCGTGGAAGTGGATCCTCCATCCACGCCCAGGACAACCCTAGGCGCGCGGCCATCCGCCAGATTCTCGAAATCCCACAGCTCCATGCTGCCCATGGCTCGATCTGTGCCCAGCGCGCGCTACCTGCGTCTCCAAATTAGGCTCCGCCAGGGACAAAGCCGGGCCATCTAAATTTGCCGCCCCTACAGCACCGCGATCGATCCAACACGGTGATGCGATGGCGATGGAGATCTGGACAAGAATGCCCCCTGTTGCTGGAATGGGCGGCACTACCCGGCTCGCGCCTTGACTAAAGAACCCTTGCCCACACGCCTTGTTTGAAAACATAGATCCCAAGAACATTCTTTCAGGGTTTATCATAGAGAATATTCCTTCCAACAGAATATGCTTTAAAGAATATTCTCTCGACGAGGAGAATATACTTTGATCGTCATTTCTCTAGCGCGGGCGAGGAAGCGAATCTCCAGGTGAGCGACATGTCCTTTTTTCTTTCGCCGGAGATGCTCACAATGGGAACAGCGTCTTCGATCGCTCGCAGCTCTTGCTCGGACAGCTCCACCGCCAGAGCTCCGGCGTTCTCTTGCAAGTTTTTGAGCTTGGTGGTGCCGGGGATTGGAACCACGTCGCGACCCTGGTGCTGGAGCCACGCCAGGGCGAGTTGTCCCGGCGAGCAGTTCTTGCTCGTGGACATCTCCAGCAGCTTGTTGTAAAAGGCCGCGTTCTTGTCGATGTGCTCGGGCATGAGCCGGGGGTCATTGCCAACCTGATCACCATGGAAAACACCACGAGAAGAATGCTCGTGCGGGAAACCAGCCTACCTTCCGGAAGTCGTTTGCTGGCAGGTCTTCCATGATCTTCTTGCCGATGGAGAAGAATCCCCGGCCGAGAGGGCTGTAAGGAACGATCCCAATGCCGAGTTCCCTGGAAAAAAAACTGTTTTTTCTCGTCTTGGTATTGAGTTTTGCATTACCTGCATGTTGGGATGACATCTTCTTCCACGTCTCGAGTCCACAGCGACCATTCCAGTTGAACAGCAGTCACGGGATGGACTGCATGAGCTCGCCGGATGTCCGAAGCCGATGCTTCCGACAGGCCAATGTACTTGACTTTGCCTTCCTCGACGAGTTTCTTCATCTCCCCAACCTTGAAGAAGAGCAAACGCTTCAACTGCTAAACATCTCGGAAAATCATGCCACCATACCGTGATTTCGATGGGAACTCTGGTGTCCACTCTGTGCTGGTAGTAAAGATCGATGTAGTCCACACCGAGTCGCTCGAGGCTGCCAAGGCATGACTCGCGAACGTAAGCGGGATCACCTCGAATTCCCTGGCTCGTGATGCCAAACTTGGTCGCGACTTGGACACTTTCTCTTCTCAAGCTGCTAATCGCCTGCAACGCGAAAGAAAGCGCAAAGACGAGAGTAAAGTGGCACAAACAAAGCACTCACGTACCTTTCCGACGAGGATCTCGTTTGTGTGAGGACCATAAACATCAGCAGTGTCGAGAAAAGTGATCCCCAAATCGTTGACAGCCTTGTGGATGAGATCTATCATCTCCGACTCGGGCTTGCGAGTGCCATAGAACGCAGACATTCCCATGCAACCAAGACCCTGCCGTGAAACCTCTAGCCCCTGGCTACCAAGCTTCACTCTTGGAGCTCCCATTTTCTTCTCACTCTCAAAACCCTTCCCAAACTACTGTAGCAACACTTTAGCTTAAGAAGATGATACTCAGCTATATTACCACGTCAAAAACAGACAAGTAGTCATGGTACGACTGCTCGTCGACTCTCTCTGCGACAAAAGAAAGAGTTGAAACTGCGTGGCGAGAGCGTTACCGCATTTAGATGAAGGCTCTCATCATGATCTCACGCGATTCATCCCGGAGGTGTTCCTTTTCAGCTTCGGCAGCTTCCACTAGATCCTTCTGTCCAATTCTAGACGCATCAGAAGAGCGTAACGCAGCCTGAAAGCAGCCAAGAAAGTTTCTCAGCAAGGTGGACAAAGGGAGAAATATACAACCTTAGCGGCCGCTCTAACTGTAGCACTGCTTATAGCTCCGCTGGTAAAGTTGAATCGCTTGCTCAGCTCGTCAAAATCTATGTCAGCGGCCAGAGGTGCCTGCAGTGGAATCAACTTAAGGTCAAAGTGCTTGAAAAAACACTATGCGATTTACCTTTGCAGGTAGCATCTTCTTCCACATTGCGGCACGGATAGACTGATCGGGCATTTTAAACTCCACGACAAACCTGAGCCTTCGAACAAGCTCGGGATCAAGTCTGACAATGGCGCTTCCCTATAACACGCAAAACACTTGTGTAACAAAGAGAAAGAAATGAATGTTGTGCGCACCTTGGAAACGTTAGCGACAAGGAGACATATTCCAGGAAATCGTTCTAGCTCGTGCAATAGCAATCCTATTGCTACATGAGACCAAGCAGAAATGCTAGTTAGACCGTTGCCAATGCCTTCCTCTTCACTTCCCATAATCTGTTCCATGGAAGTTAAAGTAGAGTGGATAAGTTGGAATGGCAGACCTGAAAATCTTCAAGCACGAGAACCGCGTCCATCAACCTTGCATCCTTGAAGACACTGGTGATATTGGCGCTAGTTTTGGCACTGCTCTCACGCGAAATCAACTGGGAACAATTGATAACCTGCAAACCAAAGCTCAATATCAGTATCTCAAGGAAAGACATGTGCTAACCTTCAAAGGGCGTCCTAACTCAAATCCTATTGCCTGCAACAAACGCAAAACAGAGCTCAACGAAATCAACAACCACGGTTCATATACCTCTGCAACGGCAGATTTCCCGGTGCCGTGGGAACCGTAAAACAAGCATGCAGTTCCTAAGCGCTCTTGTTGAAATCCCCATTGTCCTTGTAAAATCGCTCTCGCTTTTTCAAACTTAAGAATTCCTTCGATCCTTTCTCGCATCGCTGTACAAAGAACAAGGTCGTCTACTCCGGCTTTTGGGACAACCCTGTGTGTGAACGACTTCATCTGTGGATTCAGGCATTAGTGCACTAACACAAACTAAAACACAAAGCTACCTGCAAGCTGCCACGCATCTGCAAGCGGCAGCCTTCGACGATATCTTCCTCGGAAACTATAGGATTCGCACTATCTCTTGAAATGGCAATAAGCAAAGAACTAACGACTGCATTTTTAATATAGCCTCCAGTAAGCTCGTATCTGTAAACACACTTCGATGAGAGTTGTTTTGACAAGGTTTCGTACCTTAATGATATTCTATCCCAGTCAATGTTACTTGTCATAGGTAACCGGGAACATGATAACTTCCATATTTCCCGGCGTTGTGTGTGGTCTGGCGGATGAAACTCGCTAACACAACTGTATAAAAAGGCAAAATTAGTGACCGCTGAATAACTAGCTGATATCATACGTAATTCGCCTGTGCATAGCTTCATCGAGATCTTGAGGACGATTAGTTGCAAGCATAACGATGCCCTCGTGCCTTTCCATTTCCGTCAATAGAGCATTTAGCATTTTGTCGCCTCCATGCTCTCTCTAAAATAACCAAAATATTACCAATCTTCTATAACAAGACTGTACCTGAGCAAAAATCGCTTCGCACTCATCAAAAAATATCACGGCATCGTTCATGTCGGCATCCCGAAACAAACCACGAATATCACCAGAATTGTCTTCACGACCGGATAAGTGGAGCGCACGGAAGTCCACAAGGAGAACGCGTTTACCTGTAGCAGAAACAAAAATAAAAGAAAGAAGGATGTGGTCAGCTAAACAGGTGCCGGTGAGAACGTACCAAGGTGATGAGCGACTGCATTTACCGTCATAGTTTTCCCGGTCCCTGACGCACCACATAAGAGAATTACAAGTCCCGCAGCATAGCTCATAATGTCCTCGAGACCTGCCGATTTCCGAAAATCCTTAAATTTAGAGAAATTCTCGACTGTTTTTAAAAGCATATTTTTCTGTTCCTCAGGAAGAACGACTTGATCCATAGGAATCTACGCGTAACACCAGATATAAGTACTGTACTCGGACGACAAAGTGCATAAACGTTAGATCACCTTTGGCGTATATAAATAGCTCCCATCGACAAGCTCGTTCATTTCAGTGTCGAGACCAACAATCCAGTCAAGCATTCTGCGGTCAAGCTCAACTTGCTGATCCATCAAATCACACCTTGCTCTGTTGTACACTGCATTTCTCAGTTTGATCAGGCCTCTTGACACAAGCCTGCTGGACTTATAGAAATATGTCCTTGCTAGAACCTGTCGAAAACAGTCAGTCACTAACCTAGCTGGAAATAACATGACTTACCTGTTCTTTGAACGAATTGAAATAGACAGTAAGGATGTCTTGCACCTGCAAACCAGACAACCCACGCTGGTGAATGCAATAAAAACAAGAAAAGAAAAATAGACTAACTTGAACGTAGTCGCTGCTGCGCCGAAAGCCAGTGTCACCGTTGTCTCCTTCGAAAATGCTTTTAACAACAGGCGAGATGGACACAGCTGCAGTGTAAGACGATTATTGAGAAAGTTCCTAGCGCAAATCATAGTACCTGTAAGCATTAAAACGACTCCCTTTTCAAACTCGTCCAGTCCAAGCTTGAGAGCTAGAGCCTGATAGAAAAGTTCAGTTATCAGCAGAAAGGGCATCGACAGAACAACACCTCGAGTCGTGGCAATTGTCCTTTGTCTTGCTTGACAGCTTCTTCAGTAAGTCTCATTCTTTCTTGCAGCCGATTCTTGGCAAATCTAAGCTTCGCCTGTAGCTCACGGATGCTTGCAGCCTGCTGGATACAGTGTAAGAACGAAATGTTTGGCAAAGACAGGAGAGTATTACCTTTGTAGACCTATAAGAATCATACCAAGAGCGTTCATCATTGAAAGCTTCCTTCATATCTTCCTTGTGTCTAGCCTTTGCGACCCTCAGCATCAAAGCTAGCATTTGAAATGCGTCATCCAGGTATTCAAGACTCGAGGCATAAGCTTGAAGATCTCCCTTGGATGCCTTCTCGACGGTTGTCTGAGCATCACTGGTCTCTACCGCGGGAATCATCTCGCTTTCTTGCTCAGCAGGTAGCGAGACTTTCTTGGACGATTTTACTGGCTCGGTACCAGCCAAGAGTTCGTCAACTTGCTTGCCGGAAAGGCCAGTTATACTCTCAATATCTTCAAACTTCCGTTTTTTGTTTGCTCCTTGGCCTGACACAGCTGAAACGGCCACCTCATTTTCAGGATCTTCTGCAGCTACAAGGGCATCCCCCTTGCCTTCGAGCTGTAAAACAAGCAACTCATTTTCAATAGGACCCTGACAAATGAATGTAAGCAAACTTACGTGACTACTGTCGACGACGTTCAAGACCTCCGTCTTGCTCAGCTTTAACCACTGCTCAGTTTTTATTGGCCGTAAACGCAGCACAGAGACAGCTTCCTTCACCATACGGAAAGTCTTTCCATCGTAATCGTCCTGAGAAATGTAGAGGAAAGGTATACACCATCAAGCTTGAAGAACAACTTAAGTGAGAACCTGTCCCATTATGATGCCTTCAACCATATGAGTGCGTTTGTCGTCAAGAAATTCTTCTAGTTCCATCAAGCTCATACCACAGAGATCCATCGCCATTTCCTTGTCTTCCTGTCTCCCTCCTACAAAAACATCCATAAGCATGCGCACAAAGAATTTTAGAGATCACCTAGAGCGGCACGAACAGCAGGAGCCTTGGATGCACCCCGGACGAAGAGAAGCTGAAACAAACACGTCTCGGCGGGTGACAGTCCATATCTCTGTGCTAGCTTCAAAACGAGGGGATGCTTGTTTGGATCCTTGGGAAGTCGTTCCGTCTCTCTGGTTGCGAGTTCTTGCAGCAGCTTCTCAACCAACGAGAGAGCTTCTCTTCTGCAAAGTCTCTCCAACTTAGCCGCGTGTAAAGAAGTTTAAAGGAGAAAAAACTCACACTGCTATGGACGATGAGGGCGCTGGAACCGCCGCATCCGATCCGATTGCCCCAACGCACCGGCCAAGAGATCGCAGCAGCTCCATGCGCAGCGCCAGGCAAACGAAGTTGAGCTCCAGATGCGCCAGCCATTCCGGTTCTGTGAAAGAATTCTCGACGCGCGGCTGCCCCGACGGGACGACGCCCAGGAAATCGGGAGGAATCTGGGCGTGGAAATCCCTCAGCAGGTAGAGAATGCTGTCGCGCACCGTCGCCGATTCATCCGCCATGGCAAGAACCAAGGAACAATGGCAAGCCCTAAGTTGTTTTTAAACCCTTTTAACTTTGACCACAGAGAGATTCTTGACGATGATTTTATCTCGAGGAAGTTGGGGATGTAGCTCAGATGGTAGAGCGCTCGCTTAGCATGCGAGAGGCACCGGGATCGATACCCGGCATCTCCATTCTACTTTTGTCCTTAATTTATTTTCTATTTCCTTAACATTTTACTATTTTTGTCACGTTTGCCCTAATCCTATCTTCCAAGTGGCCAACCTTAATTTATGGTGTAGAGGTAGCTAGGGTTTAGCTGGCTGGAGAATTAAGATCTTTGGAATCGAGCACTCTAGAATGGGGATTGCGAAGGTTTGAGTAGGAATTTGGCGATGGAGAGTGAGCGAGCGTCGCCCCCCGAGGCCAGATTCTATCTCGATTTTGATGCCGACGAGGAGGACGAGCAGCAACAGCAACGCAAAGTAAGCAGCGGCGATGGATTCCATCACAAAATCGAAGAAGAAGATGGCGAGGACGAGGAGGAAGAAGAGGAAGACGATGCTTTGGCTACTCCTAGATGGCCGCAGAGCTACAGGTGAGTGAAAAGGATTTGGAAGAGAGATCTTTGCTGAGGCCTTTTGTTCTTCCTTGCCAGGAAATCGATGGATATCTACAGTCATATGCCCTCTCCAAGCTTGAATTTCCTCACGAGTCCAAATGTGTCTCGCAGTTCGCTGCTATCAACCTCGCTGGGAAAGCACTACGAGAGCGCAACTTCCATTCTGGATCCGCTCTTGACAGACCAGGAATTTGACAAGGATGAAAAACGACTGACTCCATCGCTGCCACCGCCACCACCCCCGCAATCTCACATTGTCACCGTATCCTCCGAGACGAGGCTCAGGAAGACTTCCTCGACCAGGATTTCTCCTTCCAGCGATGCGCAAGACTACCATCACCTCCAGCTTCCAAAGCAAGGTTGCACCTTCTTCCAGGCAACGCTAAACGGTTTGAGCTCAAAGCTTTCCCATTGTTCTCAAAGTTCTAACCTCGATGTTTCTCAGGGATCAATGTTCTCGCTGGAGTGGGGGTTCTTTCCACTCCTTATGCTCTGAAGCAAGGAGGCTGGATTGGAGCTATCATACTGCTACTCTTCGCAGTGGTTTGCTGCTACACAGGAATCCTTTTGCGCAAATGCTTGGAGAGTGAGCCAGGTCTTGTCACATATCCTGACATTGGGCAAGCAGCATTTGGCCGGATTGGACGTCTTGTTATCTCGGTACGTTGTCTTTGCTTTAGCTTGTCCATCTTCTCACTGTGATCCTTCTTAACAGATAATTCTCTACGTGGAACTCTACGTACGTGTGTTAAACTTCTATAATCTTGATTGTATTAACAGATGCTATATTGTAGGCATGCTGTGTGGAGTTTTTGATTCTTGAAGGGGATAATCTTGCATCCCTTTTCCCCAATGCTCATTTCAGTTTTAATGGCCGCAAGATGGAGTCACAGAAAGTGTTTAGCATGATAGCTGCGCTGTTTATACTGCCTACTGTCTGGCTTCGAGATCTCAGCTTGTTATCATACATTTCAGGTATGTGTTTTGTTCCTTTTTCAGGTTCTGGTTTGTTGACTTTTCTTTTTTAAAAGCTGGTGGAGTTGTGACATCAATTATTGTTGTTGTTTCGGTTTGGTGGGTTGGAGCGGTTGATGGGGTTGGGTTTCGGAACACTGGCTCATTTATAAATTTTGGAAACTTGCCAGTCTCTATTGGACTTATAGGATTTTGTTTCTCTGGACACGCTGTTTTTCCTAATATTTATTCGTCTATGAAAGATAGAGCGCAATTCAATCGAGTTTTACAATTGTGGTAAGTGTATTTCAACCTATTTTGCTTTATTACTTTTAAATTCTGATAATTTGTTATTAGCTTTCTATTATGTATATTAATGTATGGAGGAGTAGCGATTATGGGTTTTAAAATGTTTGGAGCAGAAACTCAGTCTCAAGTGACATTAAATCTTCCAAAGCAGTTTGTTGCATCTAAAATTGCATTATGGACTACGGTAAGTAATTTAATTGTGTTTTTAGTGCTATAAGTCTTTAAATTTTATTTTCAGGTTATTACACCTCTTACAAAATATGCATTAACAATCACCCCTGTCGCCTTGAGTTTAGAAGAACTTCTGCCAACTCAAGTTTCAAAAAATCATTTTGCATCAGTTCTTATACGAACTAGTTTGGTAACATCAACTTTATTTGTGGCGCTTATGATACCATTCTTTGGTAAGTATTCGATAAAGATTTGAAGTATTTCAGATTTATACGTTTTATTGATTCTTCAGGATTTGTGATGGCTTTTATTGGATCGTTTCTAAGTCTTACTGGAGTATGTATAATCAATGTATTATGATCGTTTGAAGTATTTAACAAATTTCATGGTTTTTGTAGTCATTAATTTTACCCTCAGCATGTTATCTCAGCATAAGTGGCAGAAGGATTCCAAAAACACAGGTAAGAGTCTGAGTAAAACCTTGGAGCTAGCTAAAACATGATTGTTTTGCAGGCTATTATTTGTGTCGTGACCATATTCATAGGAGTGATTGCAGCAATTGCTGGAACCTACTCGTCTGTAACAGGGATTATAACCCAATACAAAAGCAGATAGCCAGAACATATTTATTTTCGTATCGAAAACCGCACAACAAAACTTTTCCAAAGTCAGCAGATGAAGGGAATAAAGGCAAAAGAAAGATTTACAGTTTCCACGATGGATGCATCGATCGATCAGAGCTTAGTTCATTCACAGCCAAAAGGCCGCAAGAACAGCAGCAAGGAGAAGCGAAACAACCAACCTCGGCACCGCGCGAAGACGATATCCATGACTGATTGGAATCGCGTCTGGGAGCGCACATTCCTCGCCATTGAACACCACCCTGGTTGGAAATCCATCGCCGCCAGTGACGTTGATCCCGGGCGTCTTCCTCTTGTCGAACGAGATCACTGCCTGGAGCTTCCCCGGATTGTTCTTGTCGATCCGGTTGAGATAGTCGCTATAGTTTGGCAGCCCCTGGAAGTACAAGGTGGTGTTGTCGTTGATCAAAGTCCCATTGAGAGTGTAGACCCGCTCGAGCCCCGGGAACGCGTTCCTGAGCTCCACCGCGGCAAACCACTCGGGAACGGCCGTCTCGTCCCAGTTGAGCAGCGAGAGCCGGGCAGTCCATCCGTCGGTGAAGTCCGACACGACGTGCCAGTTGATGCTCACGGGGCAATTGTCCGAGCACGGAGCCACGCTTGGAACCGGCTTCCTGTTCATCCTCGCCCACTCGAGCGCCTTTCCAATGCGGTCCTGGAACGGGAGCAGCAGCGCGTACGAAGGCAAGAGCATCGCCTGCGAGCTTGTGTCACAGGAAGGCCGAGGAAGGGTGGAGTTGGCGGAGCAGCCACAGGCGCAAGTCGGGCATGGAACCGCGGACGAGTTGTAGAAACCCGAGAAGGAAACGCAGCACTTTCGCCTCGTCTCCAAGTTCTCGACTTGGCCGACTTGCTCCAGCCTGCCATTCCGGGTCATGTTGCACGTAACTTGCCAGCTCTTAATCGCCGAGATCATCCTCGTCGGGCTGCTGGGATCCGGCTTCTCCACGGGAGCGATCAGCTGGGGCTGCCCGCAAGAGTACCTGGGATCGATCTTAAAGTTGGCCGGGGGAGCGAGAGTGTCGCGGTCGAGGTTTGGAGGGACCTTGTAGACGAAGAGCTGGAAGGCCGACTTGGAGAGCTTTGGATCCATGGTGGCCGGGAGGAGAAGTCCACTCCGGCAGCACGATGGGATCATCCCAACTCTGGTGTCGTTGGCTCGCTCGGGAGGAAGATCCACGATGGTCGGGTGGCGATTGCAGCTCATCACCGTGGAGAAGTCGAAATCTTTGTAGTGAGCGCCCGCCGGGCCCGAGAGGCACTCGGTTTGATCCTGGTCGAGCGCCTGCGCGCCTCGCATCTGGAAGATGAACTCGCCTTGTTGCCACTCCCATGTCAGGTTCCAGCCATCGATCCGGCCCAGGGGATTGTCGTTGGAGATGTCTACCTCGGCCCAGTAGTTGTCCGTGAAGGTCTGGATCACGCTGTAGGTAATGGTGAGGTCGCCCGGTTCCGGCAGCGCGAACTGATCCGTGCTGGTGCTGTTGATCGCGGTCGCATTCTCCGTGCAGCACAGCTGAAGCGTATCATCTGGAAGAAGGAAACGAGAAGGAAATGTTAGGGTTCTTCGCGAGGAAGAAAGGGGGAAGAGAAAGAGGAAGAAGGGGGAAAGGAAAAGAAAAAATTAGGGTTCTTCGCGAGGAAGAAGGGGGAAAAGAAAAGAAATTTTAGGGCTCTTCGCGAGGGAAGAAGGGGGAAAAGAAAGAGGCACTTACTTCCGAGCTTCTGGACGGATCCACAGGTGTAGCCGGGCACTGGGAAGCTGATATTGGCGGGCAGCGGGAAATCCTCGACGCCATACTCGGTGCCGACCAGATTGATCGTCACCGAGGTCTTGGTGGTGTCACCGGCGGTCTCGACCGCGTTAAGGAGATCGGTCTGGGGGAATCCCGCGAGCGTGGCGCCGGCAGGGGCCACAGTGACTGGCAGATTCTCGCCGTCGGCCAGCAGCGCCCCGGGCGCCTGGACGAGCATCTCGCGGTGCTGGAATCCCACGAACGCGCGCCAGTTCTTCACCTCGCTGAAGCCCAGATTGCTCAGCTGGAGCGCCGACTCGAATCGATAGGGCTGCTGCGCGGCATCGGTGAGAAAGGGGCTGATCTTGGCGACGCGCCGGATGGAGTAGTGGAGCAGCACGCCCCGGCATGTGGAATTGGAGGCGTCCTCGAACGCTGGCTGCTGCGCCGCTGCCCAAGAGGCCCAAATCGCCACGAGGAAGAAGCTGGAGCCGATCCACCGCAATCTCTCATCACGATTCTTCGCCATAGCTCATCTATCAATCTAGAATCTCTCGCTCGCTCAAACTCTCGCGCTGTGTCGATCGATCGATCGATCGATTGAGAAGCCCTACAGCGCTGCTGCCCGGATTTGGGCTACCGATCCTCGAGCCCTGCGACCCATTCCTCCATTTAGACGCGATCTAGTCCCTCCGCGTTGCTCGTTCCTCCGCGTTTGCTAGCTAGGATTATAAGCGCGTGTTTGCGAAAATCACTATAGCTAAAATGCAGCGTCCTTTTCCCCTGTTTGCGAGACAATGCCGGCAACCACGATTTCTTCCATCGTTCCAGGTCTTCTAGCCTGCGGCCCACAACGAAGAAAAAAAAGAAAAATCTAAAACCACGATCGCCGAAGACCCTGTCAAGCGCCAAACCAGATTTTAAGACCCCATCTCGCGACCAACAAACTCATCTATCAAACTTTAAACGTTGAGGAGAGGAGCGAGCGATTCACCGGACAAACAAGGAAGGAACGAGACGTTGGAGGCAAAGCAAAAACGAAAATAAAAAGGAGAACATCCTTCTCTTGGAAGGAGCATATTCTCCTTGCGCGCCAGACAGGGATCGAACCTGTGACTTTCTGCTCCGGAAACAGACGCTCTATCCACTGAGCTACAAGCGCAAGACGTGGTGTGGATCCACGTCGGGGAGACTCCAACCCTAGGGCGATCCAACGGCTCTGGGCAAGGACACACAAGACAAGCACGTCGGGTCATATTCCTCTCTGGCGTGACCAATGCTATCATTCTTTTTCCTGGCGGGAAAAGGAATCACAGACAATATCACTCAAACTCACTTGTGCACACTGCCACACGCATGATTCCTTCACGCGCTAGCTAGCGCCACCATCTTTGTCACGTTTGATCGATTTGATCGATCGATAGATAATCGCCCATTTCTTTGTTTTTCTTAACCATGGAACCATGTAGCTCGAGTTTCCTTTTGGAAACCATGAGACCCTCGACTTTGATCCTCCCAAACATGTGCTGTCCCACATTGCCTTTGAGCGGTCGCTTTTCCAGAAACTCGTTAAAAACCAGCGATCACGCCTTTGAAAATCTCGGCCCGCGGTGGCGAGAGTGATTGAAGTGGAGTCTTATTTACAGGAAGAAAAGAGACCCGACCCGAGTCGTCAAAACGAAGACCAAGAGCGAAAGGTGGAAAAATAAAGAAGCACAAACATAAAGGGCGATCCGATCCAATCCCATCGAGCAAGAGTTGGATCGTTCACCACACCGAGAGGCCAAGCTTGAGGAAGAAGACGAAGAAGAAGGCGCGGTGGAAGGAGAGCGTTAATGGCGAATGCGCTAGCAGCGCTGCCGAATCCTCTGGTCCCGGACTGTCACTCGCCAGTGGCAACTGCGCTTGATCACTGCGGCAAGCGCCAGGGCTGGCGGCCGCTGGAACTTCGCCATCGCCAGCGCTAGCATCTTGATCATCCGAATCCGTGCTGTAGAGGAGCGCTCGCAGCACCGCCGACACCGTCGGGATGAAACGCGTCCGATTGTCCGACAGCAGCCACATCAATCCCATGAGCCGGCAATCCAATGTCGATGGCGTCGCGCCGCTGCTGCTAGCTTTTGGATTGGCGGCGACCTTCTGCCCGATCCAAACCACGGACTGTGCGTGATCATCACGATCCATCCACAAAGAAAACGCGAGAGAAAACGATGAATGGAATGGAGCCTATAGAACTCGAAAGAAGGACTTACATTGTCGAGGGCGGCGATGCAAGAGGAGCACCCGTGGAGCGATGGATCGGAGCAGTTTGACTGGAGGTGGCGGAGGAAGGGCGCGTGAGATGGAAGAAGCGCGCTCCTGTTCTTGTGGAAGTAGCCCACGGGACAGTTGAGCGATGCCATTTGGCGCAGCCGGATGCCGCAGTAGCACAGGCTCATGTCGCACGACGCGTTGAGCAGCGGGAGGTCGATGCCGCGGGAGTGGAAGCCCTGCTGCAAGCTCGCGGCGCACACCGCCGAATCGTCCGGCGGCACTGGCATCTCCACCTGTGGCGATGGCGAGGAAGAGCTCGAAGAGCTGGTGGCGGCGGCGGCGGCGATGGCGCGCATTGTGGTCTCGGCCTGCGCGGCGAAGAGCCACGATGCGAGAACAGGGCAGCAGCGCGAGCGGAGATCCTGGCTATGGTGCTTCTTCTCGCAAGCGCTCCTGAGCCCACCGAAGCTGATCCCCGCGAAATGGAGGTCGCAGGCCATGGCTTGCCACTCTACTGGCAGGGATGGCACTGTGCCCTCTTCGTCGCTAGAACTGCCATTGCTTCCTCCTCCGCCAGGAACCACGGGGAGCGCTGGCGGTGGCGAGTGTGGCGGCGCCGCCAGGGCTCCCGCCACCACCGCCGCCAGGATTGCCGACGCAATCCAGCAGTTTCGCATCTTCTCTCGCGCCGCGCTCCCTTCTTCTGGGCCACATTTATGAGAGGGGGGTGCTATATAAACGTGTGGCCACGTGGCATGAGATCCGACGGTGGGGATTGTGTAAGCGCCATCTGTGCCGTAACGGCCCGTTGCCGTACATCCCGTGACTCACACTCCTTTAGTGTTGGGTTCGATTCTTCACCTCGTTTTTAGGGTTCTTGCTCGCATTCTAGGGTTCTGGCAGCCGGATAGATTGCGGCCAGGGCGCGCGCGATGAGCTTCCGGTGGGGCGATGCGGAGGACGACGATTACGGCCTCGAGGATGTGGTGCCGTCTACACAGATCGTCGGGCCGGACGAGAAGGGAATCAAGATCATCACCGAGTGGCGCAAGAACGAGGACACTGGTAAGCTCAGCAAGCTAATCACGACGGTGAGGGTGAAGAAACAGGTGAAGAAGATGAATCCGGCGGTGCTACAGCGCCGACAGCTCAGCAAATTCGGCGATGCCATCGGTCAGAACGCTTCCGACAATTTCACCGTGATCTCCATCGACGAGATCACTCTCGAGAGGCCCCGGACTGACGGCCAGACGAACAAGCAGGACGAGAACGAGTTTGCGGCACTGCAGGGGGCTCCAGGGAGCAATCCCTCGCTGGTCGTTTGCCGAGCTTGTGGGAAGAAGGGAGATCACTGGACCTCGAGATGTCCCTACAAGGATTTGCTCGGCAAAAATCTCTCCTTTGACAAGCCGGAGGACGATGTTCCAGGACTTCCATCGGCGGCCTCCGGAGCTCCCGGAAAGCCCACCTCGTATGTTCCTCCCAGCCTGCGTGGAGGGGCCAAGCGCGAGGGGGATAGCATGCGCCACGGTTCCAGAGACGATAGCAATTCGATCAGAGTGACGAATCTGTCCGAGGACACGAGAGAGCAGGACTTGCAAGAGCTCTTCCGACCTTTTGGAAACATCTCTCGCATCTACGTCGCCTTTGATCGCGAGACAGGCCTCAGCCGTGGCTTCGCATTCATCAACTTTGTTAACAGGTTTGTGTCCCCCTTTCATTCTCTGTGGTTGCTTTTGCTTTTGTGTTGATCACGAGTGTGCCTCTCAGAGACGACGCAGTTCGTGCCATCAAGAAGCTGGACGGATATGGCTACGACAATCTCATCCTGCGCGTGGAGTGGGCGACACCCAAGGACAAGTGACAAACGAAAGAGCTGTGAGTTTATTCATTTCTTCCATACTTCTGTAACGCTTTCGCATACGAAATGGAAAGGAATGAGTTTGTTTCGAGCTACTTGCAGCTGATCTCGATGCTCTTCCAGCCGATGGGGCCACACGCGGAGACTGAAAGAGTCTAGTGACGTGTGTGGCAACCCCTTGCAATCTGGCTGGTTGTAGAGATTTGCGGTGCTCTCACGCTGCTTGTGCCACTCGAAGCCATAGCCGACTGAAGCGTCCAGATTGTTGCAGCCGCACCTAGTAACAAGGACTCGGTTTGTGCAATCTGGGGACTGGAAGGTTACGAAAGTGCTGCCTTCGGTGGAGGCAAGGATGATTGAGGCTGCCACAATGCTGACAAATAGAAGAACATTGTTAGTACTTGCCATTTTGTTTGGTAGGTGTTTGCAGTACCTATTTATTTGATATCTTGGCTGACTTTAGTTAATAATCTTTATGCATAATCTTCATAGGTTTAACTTTTACCTTTGTCTTTTTCTGTTGATTTTTAACAATGTAACAATTATGTAACGAAATATGAATATTGTTCTTGTCAAAAAGCATTTTAAGATTTTGGAAGAGTAGATAAGACAAGAATGGCAGAAATTAACAAATGTGAAAAGACCATTAATGTAAATACATATTTTATTGATTTTATTATCTGATGTTTCAATGTATTTACCAATAGTTGACATGTTTAGCATTAATTTATTTATTTAATTATACAGAAAAAATCACCACTTTCTGTAGGTTAAAAATGACCTTTATAAATTTTTAGCTTTAATCCTTAGTTCCTTAGTAGAAAGCAGCTTTATGATATTTAGTGATATAAATTAAGTGACCTTTCATATGCTAGGGGTATTTGAGACATTAGTATAGCCCTTCTTTTATTGAGGGGTGTCACTTTTTGTTTTATGTCTATATTACAAATGTGATAATAAGTATGAAAAGTTATTTGTTTACGAGTCCAGATATTTTTTTTTTACAATGGTAATAGGTTTAGCTAGTTCCTTTTATTAGTCCCTTTTGTTCAATTGTAGTAAATTAGGTTTAATATTTATACTTAGCCAAATAAATATAAAATTGTGGTTATTGAGCATATTTGGTTTGGCTTTTAATTTTCTTTTGCTTTATTGCACTAACTTAATAAAAACCCTTCAATATTGAGCATTAGTCCCAACATTACTACATAATAACTTACTATATTTATGTAAACTATTAAATTTTCCATTTTTCTTTAGTCACTTAACCACATTTCCAACCACTAGGAAGAGTCTCACTCATAACCTCCATAAATTTTATTCCAGACTTATGGCTTGCTAACCTTGACAATGGCATCCATGCCATTAAACTTTTACATTTGGTCCAAGTGCTCCATGTGTCCAATCCATCACTAACACCCAAAGGTACCATTGACATATTAACCTATTATGCTAATGCTATGCCTATTCACTTTAGTCACACCGGTGATGTAACACCACCTACATCATAATCCTGTCTCTCAAAAATTGGGCCATCCGTTCATGAGTGATTATTCTAAATCCATTCTTTAGAATTTTTAGAATGCTTGCAGACATGGGGAACAACCTTCCCCAATATCCCTTTTTCCGTCCCCACCAAGTCTCTTTCTATCCATAGCCGTATTTGTGTGAGACACAAAATCCCTAGGCCCCAAAGTGGAGCCGGAAGGGTGATGTAAGCCACAAATTTTTCCTTTCCAATTTGTCAGCTTACCTCGTCTATCCGTCCAACACCGCTTTGGCTTTTGCTAAGTTCCCTTGCCAAGGTTCTCGCCTATGGTACCAGCTTCTACTTGGTCTCAGCTACTCACTGCACGAGCAACGGAGTGTTAGCCATCCATCCACGGATTCCCAAATCACTCCCAATCCCCCTCCCTGGGTTAGACTGGAC